TTTTGTCCCTGCCCGTCCAAGATTGAGAACTACCGAGCGACTTTGATGAGTTTTGTTCCCCTAACAGGTCTCCATATTGGTTGCTTGCATATGCTTTCAGATGACTGAGCCATCTGTAGAAGATTAACATAGGGATGTGAAAAGCCTACAAACTGTTGTAGTCTGATTTGATTTCAGTCTTTCACCACGTTGTGAAAAGGAGCGAGAGAAAACTTTACCGCGTGCCGTATTCCACGCAATCATGCCATGAAACCACTTCTTTTCTCAAGATGACGTGACATTAATTCGCGCCAAGTGCACCGAACAATGAATCAGAGATGACGTCAGATTCAGCTACATTCACCATCATTGATATTAAGTGAATTGCTTCATCATATAAAATATTGTTGATGATAGACCAATGCAGACCGTAGTGGAAAAAGTGATTTAAAAATCCTACTGATCACCCTGTTTGGCAGTATTGACATTTATTTGAATATTTCCACCCTGGTTATGGATATTGTGCCTTTGGCTCTAATCGGTGTAATGTTATTTGGTTGTCCGACCGTCTCCTTTGACCTTACACTCATTATTTGTCGTTGTTCGATTGAGACTTATCATGATTGCTCCACTTTCCTATTGACTGGTGTTGGACTGTTGACAACCTGATGTTGTTTTACCGTGCCCGGCATTTTGTCTCGGTTCAACTTACGGTCGTGCTGTGGTTTGACTGCTTATTTTTAATATGGGAGAAGCTGGTTTACAGGCCTCATCAAATTGACAGTTGCAGAGAATCACAAAAGTTTTGGGCAGTTTTGAATGGTACAGATGGAGGATATTAAACTCTATCATGATACCAAGTGTCTAAATGTTATGAAGCTAGCAGGAAGTTATCATTTTACGGTGCATACACATCATTCCTAATCACAGTTCTTATTTCACATCAAACGTCTCAATATTCGGTGTTTGCGTTGTGAGTAGTCGACATGATCGACCCATCTGCAAAACCCAGTGTTTCGTCAGATAAACGTCGATTTTAACGGTAACTCTTATGTTCGTGGCTTTATCGACCAGCTGTAACTTACTTCAATGATTTCAGGAATAAGTATCCATACGATAATTTAATCCAGGTGAATGTCTAAGTTCAGGCGTTTTTCATTCTTCACTTCAGATTGGTAATACTGAAAACACTTGTTGTGGTGCACGTAATTAAAGAATGGAAGAGTCGTCGTTCAACGGTGGTGAATATTACACATGTGTAAAACTTCATAGACTTCACATTAAAGTATGCAACATTGTCAAGGAGATACATTGGCTGTTAATTGACTTCCTTTAGATGGATTGACACAAGGCAAAGTACTAGCGAAATCTGTTGCCTAGCATTATTACTTATGTGTTACCGTATGTTAAGTAATCACTCGGGTTTGACTGTTTATCCAGATCTCCGCCGCATTTGTCGCGGACCAAAAAACAGAGACCGGTTATTGTGCTTGGGGTTTCGTTTTAGGTTTTATTTAGGGTACTGGTAGGGAGTTGAGTTGGTTGTGAAGCTATTCCAGAAACAGGAAATCGGGGGTAAGCCAGTCGAGGACTTCTAACATCAGTTTCCAGCATTGCGTACGAGGAAGGATTTACAGTAAGTCGATATTCTTTGATCAAATTAATGCTTGGGACTTTCTCGTTAGGCTGATACTGTTTACTGTATAGCACACATTCGTTCCCGAGAACGGTTGGACTGTGTAGTTACCCAAAGACACTGTTGAGGTGGTTTTGTAATTTCGATATGACTTGTGGTTGTTTTGATAGCACCACAGATTTTGTCACGAATCTACCACTGATTTACTACAAGCCGTTTTTTTGATATTATTGGTCCAACTCTCGACTGTACGTCACTCGCGGAAGTTCGGGAAGTATACAGTAGGACGCAGAAGCTTGTCGGGTTCGCGTTAGTTTGGTACCGCCTAGTTACTCCACGCGTTTAGGCCAAAGTAACTGGATTTTGGCTGCTTCATACACCACTGAGGTTTTCCTGGAAGATCTAGATATCATTGGTCGCATCTTCTTCTTTCCTAAGTTGGCTGTATACAGTCTTTGATGGTGTTACAGAAATTGCCGTAGATTTTACACTCTTAATGCAACATTTTTTTTCATTACGGTGGTTTCTTTTCAATCAGTGTGACCATCCTCATATTCGCACTGAAGTTTCGTGCAGAATAGGTAGTTATTAACCCTATAAAACACCCTGGAAGCTTCGGAAAATCCTTTGTGGATGGGTCGCAAGACACTTGTTGGATATACTTGTGTGCTTTAGTAATCTACAGTGGAGGTCTCCAGCTGTTAGCTTTCTTATGGCTTTGCCAACAGTATTGATCAGCCACTTCGGCAGCACTTTGAAGCAGTCTGTTTACTATCTTCTCGACTCACAGTGATACCATACAACTGTCTTCACAATGAGAGCAGTCTATTTTCTGATGATGGGTAACTAAAGAACATCACCACCGGGGGGTAAAAGGTGCCCTCGAACCATCTGAGAACACTTAGGTTAATCCTATTTAGGCTTACAAAGTTGCTTTGCATACACTGGTTAGAATTCCTATCGTCACTGGAGGCTCACACGGAGTCCCAATTGTGGTGCTTAACTTGTTGAAGTTGGATGAATTTTCTCCTTGTTGAACCTGCCTCAGGCTTTATATCCTGAAGCGATAAGCTGATCACCCCACTTTTAGCCCAATCTAATGGATTACAGACCTATTTTATCGTGCTAGAATAAGCAAAAGATTAGATTACAAACACAGAGACTTCTGGTCACTTTGCATGGTCGTAGAGACTGCTCCGGTGGTAGGAACTATCTCATCTGAATTTCATAATCCTCGACATTTTAGTCAACTTGACTGACTTGAAAGTCATCTGATTATAAAGTCGGGACCACTGAAATAAGGATTAGGCTTGTCGATTTCAAAATCTTGCCGTTGAATACAAGCTATCGTCGGGACTGAATATATTGGAGGAAGAAACAGTTCCTTACTCCCAGGGGAACATTCCTTAATTTCAGACATTTATGAGTCATTTCTGAAGGGCAAGGAACTTTCCCGCTGTTATTTTTGAAGGTATACCTTCTAGTACAAGTGAATTATTATTATTACATACAGGTTAATTTTACCTCAGAAGCTCTCATGAAGGGTTAGTCTTTTAACTATGGGATTACAATCAACATAATGGTATGCTATTCCGAAGTAGCTACAGATGCATCCTCAGAAACACAGTTCTACTTATTTGCATGCGACAAAGGTAAGGGTTTTCATACATCAGGAAGGTAAGTGCTATTTTACGCTGTGTGCTGTTTGCAAGTGCTGAGAATCGACATAATTCATAAGTATCTCGTTTAGACTCCATTGAACTTACCCAGTTCATACACCCTACATGTTAAAAGTGTGTTTTCCTTCCAAAATTTATTTGTGGTTATGACAAACAACACATTTGCGTTTTACATGAAGGTTGAGGCCTAATGCCTTGCAGGACATGAGTTGACTTTCAAGTATGACATGCACCAAGTGGTCCGTTCGGGTCACGATACTTGCCACACATGAATATTTCAGGACAAGCAGGTGAAGGCATCTTTGCTGCTAAATCAGCTATGTTTCAAGTCATCCGTGGGCTCAAACCTTACAATAATTTTGAAAAAAGCCTTGACACATCTTTTCCGTGATCGCGAATTTTCGAACTGTTCCACAGTGTCTGCAGTGGGCTTTCGATTATGGCCTACAGACTCATTCGCTGCTTGAGGTTATCGTTTTTCATCAATTATCTCAAGAAGATGGGAAAAACTTGAAACGCATTCGGAGTCACTTTGCGGACTAAAATTAAAGACATGTGGACAGTGTGGGTGTACTGTAGCTGAAGTACCTTAAAAACAGTGGGTAACAAAGCATAAAACGTTTTTGATCAACCTATTCACCTGCTTTATCTCGTGAATGAATTACGATCCAATACTGTTGTTGTAGAGAACACTGCGAATTCGGAGCTTGAACACAACGGAGGGAATTTTTCCTCTCTGCTGCTAAACTTGACTTTCTGTGACAACTCCAAGTCATCCACTCAAAGTTCAATTCGGGAACTCTATCTCGACGTTCTGTGGGACTTTTCGAAGTCTAAGGTTAGCCCTTGTTATTCAACTCAGAGTTACATGTGGTGTGGAAAGTGACTGCGGCTAACCCTGTATAGAGCGCTAAGAAATTAATGACTTGATGAAGTGGTTACCCTAGGATCGTATCAGCATGGCAAATACAGCCTTGAAGTGATGCATCGAAGTAAGCTGCAAACCAATTCACGTTCCAACTGGAGAATCAGTTGAACATTTCTTAGCCAGTGAGCAATGCTGTTAATAGAATTACCGTGAATTGATAGTCTAATGATGATACAGCTGGCACGTTGAGCGAAAGATTCGTTTTAACGTCACAGGAAGGGACTGGGCACCTGGTTAACACTGAGTCCTTACGTTATACCTGTACTGAAACTTGGGGGCGCTAAGAGTATATAATAAAGTTGCGCACGTGGCAATAAAATGACTTATGAAGTCGTTGTCGAACCTGGAGTCAATAAGGGTAGAAGATGTGTTTATGTCTATGATTACATAGATTCTGCATGTGGTGTAACAATTTAGAACATGAAGGAATCAGAATACTGTGACTGAGCGAAATGAAGTGCTCATGACCTGGAATCGATAAGTTCTGCACCCTAGTAACTTCTTCCGAAGCTTTTGGTCAGTCTGTATTTCTTAAATGTCATTGGGCTAGAAAATTAGAAGTGGTCAAATATTCTCTACTTCTAGTTATAGATACCCTCAAGGATTCAGATGGACCAACTAGCTAACTGTTGTTGTTACTTGATACTGAAGATAATAGATGTTTGGTGTCCCTTCTACTTCTTAGGGATTTGTGGATCTTTCAGCAGAGGGAGTAGTTTCAGATTAACCACTGACTGTCATTTATCTACTGTTGCAAAATGTCAGGTGAAGTGCGCATTGAACCTTGAAAAGCTACCTCAAGGTAGTCGTTCAGGACAAATCTGGGCGTGGAATGATGGTTTGTTTTGTTTTATAAATATTTTCCGCTATTAGACGCAAGGTATCAATCCTCGAGCATATCCTCTGGCTGGTCCAGAGTTGACAAATAAAATTATTGAGCTGGTTAAGCAAGCCAGCTCGTATAAGCAGCTTAAGAAGGGTGCAAATGAAGCCACGAAGGCTCTTAACAGAGGGAAAGCTGAATTTATTGTGATGGCTGCTGACATCGATCCTCTTGAGATTGTCTTGCACTTACCGCTCCTTTGTGAAGACAAAAACGTTCCGTATGTATTTATCCCTTCCCAAATGGCTCTCGGACGGGCTTGTGGAGTTTCTAGGTCAGTAGCTGCGGTCGCCGTAACGGACAGTGAAGGTTCGCAGCTTAAGCCTCTTGTTGTATCAATTCAGCAGAGCATTGAAAAACTGCTTATTTGAAATATATATGATTGTAATTACAAGTGGTTTTTGGTGAGTGTTACAATTAGCATATATTTGCAAGCTGTAGTAAGCTGTCTAGTAATGGCTTATCGTAACTACGACGTCTGTCTTTTTTCCGTTGCTGGTCCTGAGAAGCAAGAGCTAGTGTGTAAGTGGTTAGTGAGTTCGGTGCTTAAGCTGAAAAACATTAAAATTTGCTGAGGGAAGTAACGATTGACTGCACAAAGATAGTTCTTGCTGATTACTGGCGAATGTTTTCATTGTTCGTGTATTTTACTTTATAAAGTAGGTCTCAATTTACTCCCTCTGACTAACGAGTCCTGCTGAACCAATCGGCTTTTTAGAAGTTAGTTATTGGCTCATTGTCTGGCATGTAGTACGAGAAAATGATCTAACTCAGTAATCACGTACGGGTGTGTAAATTGAACAGCATGACACTGCATGATGCACGACACCAAACCTCAGCAAATAAAGCAGACGTTGAATCTATAATTCAGACTTGTTGTTTGGGCATAAGAGGCTGAGAGCCTGTATTAATCCTTTTCAAGCAGATTTTCAACGAGTCAGTTGATGATGCGGACACCACTTCTGGGAGTCGATCCCAGACCTTGATTACTCGACTCGAGAACCGGTACTTTGCGGAGATTATGTTCGTTCTTTGCTTTTGTAGTCTTCTACTATGTCCTCTAAGGTGTTCCGGCCTAGTGGGAAAAAAAAGTAGATCAGGTCTGAAGTCACTTCTTAGAATCTTGTATAGCATGATTAGGTCTCCCCTCTGTCTGCGGTAGGACAAAGTGAAGAGGTTCAGCTCCTTAAGTTAATCTTCATAGGTGGGACCAGCCATCGCAGGGATCATAGGAGTGGCTGTCCTCAACTCTTTCTAGAAGGTCTGCGTCACCTTTCAGACAAGAATTGACTGCCTGTGTACAGTTTTGTAACTTAGACCTCGCTAAGGATGTGTGTAAGATGGTGGACGTGTCACCGCTCATTTTCGCAAACGTTCTACGTAATGCTCAGAGTCCTAAAACTCACAGCTGCTACCAATCGACAGTGTGCCCGTGGTTTTCAAGTCATAGCTCATTGTGACACCTAGGTCATTGTGGGTCTACTGACGGTAGGGGAGTCCCACCAATATCGTAAGTGTTGCTGTGTGTGTGTGCCCCAAGTGGATGCTCACACATTTACCTGCATTTATAGGCATCAGACCAGGTAAACAAGCTGTTTAGGTCTGTATGAAGCGCACGTATATCCTTATCGTTTCTAAATTCCCGCCAGATTTTTACATCATCAGTGTAGAGAACCATAGGGGATTTTGTGATATTTAGCAGCTCATTTACGTATAGGAGAAAAAGTAAGGGACCAGGACTGTGCCTTGCGGCACTCTACTCCCCACCGACTTCCATGGGAATCGATCCTTACTCTTTGTCTCCTACCAACGAGGAACTCTCTTATCCACGTGGGCAGACTGTCAGTGCTTCCAAAACTTTCCAGTTTCCGGAGCAACCTGGAATGAGATACCTTGTCGAACGCCTTACTAAAGTCTGAAATGACATCTAGAAGTGTCCTATCATCTTTAGACTTAACCCAACTTTCTCTGGCTGTAAGGAGGTTCGTCAAGCAAGAGAAATTTCTACAAAAACCATGCTACTAGTTGAAAGTCAAACTCTCCAAACAATGTGTTACAGCTCTACTTGTATTTAGAAACTTATTTTCTGAGTCACTACTGTTTTCATAGTATTTGGGTCGATTTATGAAGTACCTAGTTATAGGGAAGTAAAACTTGAGCCCTGTTATAGATTGTAATTCTGTTTTGTTTATTATTGTCACAATGAAACATTATTATTTACTAGATAACGTTTCGAGCATAATTTTTTTCCATGTTCATATCACGTAACTCCGCAACTTTGAGAAATGGCTTATGTATTTTTAATGCTCTCACTTTTTGTAATAAGGGTAGTCATATTTTCTATTTATCTAGGACAGCTGCAGAATCATTTCTATTACTTGTATTTATTCTTGATTCGAAAAACAGGTTCAGTTACCGATCTCTTCTGTCACCTAAGTTTTTATTACTGTTGCTCTATCCCATCCTAGTGTATATAATTTCATGCGTGGCTGTAGCCGAGCTTTCCTCTGAATTCACTACCTTGTTAGGGCATACTAACCTTCATGTAGCTGAGTTTTTTTTGCTTTGCTATTCTGATTGATCATAGTCGACTAGTTTGACCAATATATTTAACTTTACAATCATTGTAAGATACTAGGTAAACCAAATTATTTAGCCTAACTGGATCAGTTGGGTCTTTTAACTTACAAGGCTTGTTCCTAACAGAGTTTGTTGATTTAAATGCTACTTTAGTCCCAGTTTTATTGAGAATTCTTCGCAACGTTTCTGAGGTGCCTTCTTTGTATGGTAACACTATTACTGCTATTATTAGTAGAATTATTACTAATAACATCAGTGTTATTATTACTACTCATATTCTTACTTCGATTTCTTCTGGATTAATTGGCAAATTTATCTAGGTAGTTATTGAGACGCAAGGTATTCTTGATGTATCTAATTTCTTGTAGATTTTCTGTCCTACCAGTAAATTTTTCCCCCTTACTTAGGCATTTAACTGAGTCTACTTTAACGGAGTTGGTTCAAAGTTTTGTCATGATTCTAATTGGAAGGTCTAAGCTGGATGGTTTTACCGTGAAGCTTCCATGGTTTCGCTAGACAAAACCACCAACGCTAACTTCAGTATCAAGATTTCTCCGTGAGTGAATAAGTACCGTGTTCTAACTGGTGGTTTGGTAGTTTCCTTTAATTGCTTTATCATTAATTGTACGGCATTTACTACTAGCCATCTCTGTCTGACTTTATAGTTGTTTGTCATTTCTCTTATTGTTTAATATATTGGTTCATGTATATACAACTGTTTTGTTGATTGACCTGAATACCAAGCTTCTAGAAATTCGCCAGTATTCTTTGTTTCCTCTGTACAGAATCTTCACATTTTCAAAATGGGATTCATATCCCTAGTTGTTCATATCCATTGATATGAATGTGTCACGGATTCTTAAACACTTGGGTCATTAATTTTTTAATGGTCCTACTGACTAAAACATCTAGGAATGGAAGTTTGTTGTTCGACTCTTCTACTGTTTTGAAGTCGTTATTCTCGAAAACATTGTTACTCAAGCTATATTCTCTTTCCATTTCATCCGTTTGATGATAGTGAAGGTCTCGTTGACGTAGGGGGATCCAGATGTTTGGTTTGATCACTGGTGAGACGATAATTTTAAGTCTCAGTATTACTACTTTTGCAGTCAATCCGGATATCAGTGATTCCACTGAAGTTGGTTTCCTGTTTGTGTATTTTGCCTTTGAAATAAAAGTACGTTATACAAAAACCGATGAGTAACGTGACTACTGAACTGGATACCAGTTGACAGTCGCCTGCTAAACGAAACAGTAAGAACTGAAAGGAACAGGGAGACTCGTCGTTGTCTTTTTGTAATCTCTGCTTATGCACCTACTGGCTGCAGTTCGGAGGAAGTGAAGGATAAGTTCTAACGAAAACTATTCAGTCTCCTTCTGAAAGCCGAACGTTTAGAGTTGGCTGTGGTTGCAGGTGATTTCAGTGCAAAAGTGGGTAGGCTTAATCAGACAGAAAGGCACTTCGGTGGCACTTTCGGAATCCTGACTGAACGGAAAGATAATAATGATCACCTACTACAACTGTGCTCGGATAACCGTTTGTTCCTAGCTACCACAAACCTCAAACATAAAGAAAGACACTGTCTGACGTGACATCCACCGAGCTCAATTCAGCGATGGACACGGATAGACCACATTGCTGTTAGTCATCGCTGGAGAGGGTCGGCGGAAGGCTGCGGCTCTTTCTAGAGCACATGTTTGGATAGCGACCACGCGTTGGTCCGAGTGCGTATATGCCTGCTTCTCAATGGAGGTAGGAAACATTTGGCGACAAAACCACTACGAGTGCTGCTGAAGAACGAAAACACCAAAGCTGTGTTCAGTAAGAAGTTGGCTAGGCAGTTATCAGAACAGAAGACTACCACTCATCCAGAAGAAGCTTGGTGCCATATTCAGTCTGCTGTAAAAGCAGAGCTGAAGACCATAGTCAACTCTCAAAGAGTGGATATCAGCTGCTTCTGAATTAATGGATGCACACGAACTAGAAACTGGGGGGAACGGTCAACGATGGTGAGACTAGTGAAGGATAGGTCTGCGATTTAGTCACAGGGGAGACGACTGGAAGGATGGCCAGAACACTTTGGTAAATTGTTGAATTGGCCTCCAGCTACTATTACGTTTCCCGCTATCCAGCGGGATCCTGGATGAAACATTGAGATAAGCCTCCCAACACGAAAGTGGTAGGTAACTTGAAACTAGGATGGACAGCAAGACCAGACGGACTAATTCCTGAGGCATATAAAGACCGTGGTAGGGTGTTTTTAGTCAGCTGAAATGCTAACTAGTATAAAGGAGTCGAATATGATCCCCTCTAACTGGTATGTGATTGAATATCCCAGTCTTCAAATAACGCGAGAAGTCCTCTTGTGATAACCACAGAGGAATCAGTCTGACGAACAGTGTCTTATATTCTAGGTTCTATAATCACTAGCTGCCTGAGTGAAGCTCGGGACAGCAAGCCCAGGAAAACCTTGTTCGCGTTTGGTGGAATCACCGTGTGAACAATGTCGAGGCCAGACGAAGGATACTAGGGGAGTCGATTGATGAGGTTCTGAAGCTTCATCGACTGAAATGGCTTGGACATGTACTGCGCATGCCGAGCCACCTCTTACCTCGACGTGCCACGTTAGGGGAAGTTGTATTAGGTTGAAAGGGTTTAGAGTGGCCGGATCAAGAGATGGGATCAGTCGGTGGAAACCCCGTACTGTTGATTAGTTGTGGGATGGCGCAGACCACCTAGCTAGAGTCCCCGAGACATTAGGAATCAGTGGTTGAGGAGACCTGGTGGCATGATCGACTACAATGGCGCAGATGTATTCACTCTTTGACGTCTTCTAAGGCTTGAATATACGCATTAACTTTTATCTTCAAAGTGCTTATTCTACTTGGTCTTTGCATGCTACTAAGAAATGTGGCAACTTGGACCGATGCAAGGTTCTACTTTGGTTCTGTCTGAATACCTCCCATTTCCATACGCTACCCATTACTCTACTCAGCAATATGCTACCTTCCTTAAAAACTGGTTGCTTTAGGTTTGAAACAGCCTTCTCAAGTTTTGGGAGAGTTAGAAGTCAACATCTGCATCCTATTCACGTTTGGGTAGCATGCTGGGAAAATGAAGTGATGTTCTGGGCCAGTTGAACTGTGCTTAACAGTTTTTGGTATAACCACCAGTCTGGAGACGTTATCAGGATCACATTCTTAGTAGTGATCTCACTAACCATTGTTTTCGTCTTACCAGTATCCTTAATAAGTCTAAATGATAACATAATGCGAATGCCTTCATCATCTCTTTCGCTCGTCATTGTGGTTAGAGCCAACTGGATAGGGCTGCAGAAATCCGATCTTTCACTAACCTTTGGTTGTGGGTTACCAACTGTGTTCATTGGTGTTCTTACAGCAGACCGTACATCATGCCAAGCTTTATTAAGATGAGAACTGCTGCCATGTTACATAAACAGTACGTCATCTCCTCTCTAAATGCACACTGACTTTCTAATTTTCCAATAAAACAGGCACCCCTGCCGTCTATTTCCTGCAACCGGTAGTTAGGCGACTGAGAAATGCAAACAGCTGCAGATTGGAGTTCCATATAAAACGAAATATCCAGTCAAAGTCTGCAGCCGTACTCTCGCGCCATCACATGTTTTACTGTCATGAACGCACGGTAAGTTTTTCACCTGAATATCTGTTATGGTCTTTACGCCTATTTGATTGATGGCGTGCCAAGGTTTCTGGTTATTTAAAGAAAAGTACTGACTAATTGTACGATTGACACAACACTGAGAGCTATGTGGTTACCATACTGACATAGAAGCCTGGACAGCGAGTGATTCATATAATGAACGGTTGGAATGAACTTCGAACGCCCCTACATTTTAGCAGTGAACTGATATTCTACTTAGTCATTCTGGTTAAGCTGTGAAGATTTAGTAAATCACTGACTACGGCTGCTTTCTAATATTGAGGACTAGAGTTATTTTCTGAAAGAAACTAAACAAGTAGTTACGTAATCTGCTCTAAATTTGTAACAAGATTGTGGCTATCACACTGTAGTACCAAATGCACGTGGACATAGTGAGTGCAACTAGCATTTTTATGAACATGGTTACTGTTTCATGGAGAAGGCAAGTAGAGTAAGAAATCAGAAAATAGCGACTAATCGCTTGTGTTACGAAGTTAGTTACTGTAGAATGAGTTTTCAGCCCTAAGGTGATCGAAACTAGTAGCATGATCGAGAAACTGAATTTTAAGGCGAGTTCAACTATAATCGGACTGAAATTAATTTGCCAATGAACTGTGTTGGGATCAATTTGTAAATATCTGCTCTTAATTAACAGACTTACTAAACTAATGGTTTTTTGTGGAGAAGTGAATTGCTTTTCTTGCCTCTTATACATTGGCTGTCAACACTAAGTAGGTTTAATTAGAGCTAACAAAAAGGCGTTTGTCAAAGGTAAGAACAACAAGGCAAGATACAACAATCGGCTACTGAATGATTCTAGCAGAACAATGTACAAAGACTGAGTAGAAAATCTCAACTGTTGGTGGGATAACGGGTAGTAATTTTGCGCTAAATACTACCAAAACTCAGAAATCTGATCACTGTGTGTGGACATTCAATTTAAATTTATTTATAAAAAACCTATTAATTACACAATACACACTTTATGAATTTAATATACAAGGGTTGAATTTACGTGACCACACTATAGTATTTTTAATAACGTTCCCGGCTGACATCCAGTATAATGATAAGAAACCCCTAACTTTCATCTTACGAAGAAAAGTAACTACTATCATCGAACAATACGTAAATGACGAGAACAATAAAGACGGCAAAGTAATATTTCAGCATCTCGATGCTAAAATTTAGTTTGCTCACTAGGTATAACAGACTGTTGCTATATGGCACTGCTTCCAGTGAGCATGAAAAAAATCGAATGATAATGTTAGGGCAACTCAGAATGAGTTTTATTGTAATCAGCATTCAACAATATATAGCCAAAATGAAAAATAAAACAAATTGATTAATATAGTAGTCCTCATTTAGCATTGCATATAATCTGATGAGCTGATGAAGCGGTAGTTTAAAAACAAAACAAGCGAGACAAAAAGACTATACACACAAGTTACGCAAAAGTTTGTCAAGGAAATAGTCTTATAGAAGATTAAATAAACATACTATGCATTCAACAAGAGTTTATGTTCTCGACAAAACACTGCTTCTTATGAGAAAAAAAATCAAAACAGAAAACGGCGTGAAACAAGCCGAACAATGCACGTTGACTTTCAATGTAGATAATAATTTAATCAACAGTTAGTTAATAAGTACGATCTCCTGCTACTACTACTTGCACTAAAACAGTAGTTGAACTATGTCTTCCGTGAATTTATGTTTTTCATAGAACTTCGATTTCTACTTATTTAAGAATGAGTTACCAAGCAGATATAAACAATTCTAGTGTATAAAACACTTTTTTAAAATCATCCCAATGCAGATGAAACCACTCAAGAAATAGGTTCTTCAGAATACACCGTGATAGGTTTGCACAAATTATTTAAGTTAGTAAGTATGAGGAACAACAGGATATATATATATATATATAACCTGGTAAACTGGATATGGAATAAAATCAATTTTTGAGAAATGTAATATTTGCCAAAAGAATTATTTACAATCACTGGAAACATTAGTGATTCTGTAACGAAAAGGAATAAGATGTTGTTGAAGCACTGTGATAGTGAAATTATCAAATAAAGTGAAGTAAAAAACAGAAAGCTTAAATGATCCCAAATACTTCAAATTGATGATAAGGCCAACTCGATTTATTAACATGGGAAGAAGGGTTTAAAATAACTAGAAATGAACACGAAAAGTAATAATGGTGATTAGTGGTGGTGATTATCATTTCCTAACGATAACGGTGAGCATCTAAAGGTGAGTAGCATATGAAACTTTATGAATTGGAGGGAGACGAAGTTGTTGCATTCTTTTACAATACAGGCAAGAGATGAAAAAAAAATGAGAATGTAAAAGGCACCAGATAAAGATTCCTAAAATCAAAACAGTCCAATGTCTGAGTTGCGAAATAGATCATGTTTTTAAGGGGGCTTTTTCGAAAGACCAATGGAAAATCCACTCATAATATGGAACATCGCCATATTTGGCGTTTTGGCCGTTTGCTGTTGATATTTCTAGTATCATCTCTAGGTGGATTATTCAGGTTCTGAAAATCAAAATTCAAAGACCATATGATAATTACATACGTATTGCAAATTACAAAATTTGAAAGCAAGAACAATAAATTTGATCAAAACGGTGTACCTTCTGCGAATAGTTATTAGTTAAAACATAGTTTTTGAAAAAGATGGGCAGACTACATCACGTTGATGAAAAAGAGATATTTTTGTACACTTTTCAACTTATACCCTAGAGAAAACAAAGTATGCAGACATCGGCAAGCCGATTATGAGATAAACTTCACGTTGTAGGAGCATACAGGTTATAACGACTGATTGATTTAAAGATAAACACATATTATAGCATACTCTTCAGACAAACCAGATGTATCGAGGGTTTAACAATAGTACTCTAAAACGGGTCCATACACTGAACTGTGAACTATATTGTGTGGAAACTGTGACTTGTAAGTTTAGGCCTTAGGCTCTCAATCAGTGAATCATAACTTGGAATTCCATGGTGACATTTGAAAAGCGGAAGACTACCATCAACCTTTATGCACTTATTCATTTACATCCATATGTGATGGTTAGAAATGGCAATTAGTTGTCCAAACTTTAGTAGGTGGAGCGAAGTTAGAACTGATGATCGAACTGCTGAAATATCAGACAACGAGTGGTTTCCTTATTTTCATTAATTTGGTTTTTTTAAAATCATCGGCGATGCGTATAACTGTATAGTTTGAACTGTATACATCTTAGTAGAGATACTATGAGTTTTCATGAAGGAAAAAGATTTGTTCAGAAAGGGGACCAGTGTTTCACACTTCCAAGTAAACCAAAAGCAGAACTGCAGGGTGGAAATACTACAATAAGGAAAAGGTGGATGACTGCATTGCACGGGAAATAAATTAGTAAATGTTTAGCACGATTTACTTGGGACGATCCCTTGTGCTTCGATTACCCTGATAGTATCTCTAAGCTCTGATATGCATATGTCAGAGCGAATAGAATCATGAGGTAAACAAGTAACTGAACATAAAGTATAAGACACATAATCATTGATAGTATTTCCATTGTTTTGCATTTCCCTTTATAACAGCTTTTATCACTGTGCTCATGAGTTTGCAAACTTGGACTTATATGCATGTACCACGTTTTACGCTGTTGATATGTTTGTACAAACGAGATTACTCTTCATAAAGAATCCTGAGTGATAAAAATATTTCTTACGAGCAAGGTTAAAAGTCTAACATTCGATATTAACACAGATAAATAGTACAGCTTTAGTTCATTAGTCTAGACTTCCGACTACCACTCTTTGAATTACTGGTTAAAACTTCATTTTACTTACAATGGTATGAGTAACCAAATATTATAAGTTCATACAGTAGATATAATTTACTGACTACTGAATAAACACACACGAGATTACTGCTTCGTGACGCTGATAAATTCTTAACCTTGAATATAACATAAATGTGCATATCTTTCATTTTGACACATGAATAGCGGTATATGACTGTGTTTATGTAGACTTACTATTGTTCTTTCCATTTTGACCTTTATATCTTGTGCTAGTGCCTTGAAAGCCTCGGTGACATTAATACCAGACTTAGCACTAGTCTCCATAAAACGAATTCCATGTGAGTTGGCATACTAAAGAAAAACAATACAACACGTTAAACACATAGATACCAAGTGGGCTGCTGAATATATATATTAAACTTATTAAGATTTAACTTCTATGTGATACACGATTAAATGGTTAGGAAGCTAAGCCATTCCTGTTTTAACCATGAATAGTGAACTTAACAAAAGTTTCTATCCACATAAGATTATATCAAACAATTAGAACATTGGCAGAACAGCTCCGTTACATTTTAAACAGGAAGTGAAAGTGAAACTGATCAAAAAAACTTGATAACAGAACATGATCTGAACAATCAACTGCATATTTTGGTTGGACTAACTTTGGATTTTGCAAAACACTAAACATTATCAATGTGACTGAGATCCCACAAAACTTTCAAATAATGGCCTCATAGGTTTGATGTGATGATTCAACCGCTACCAAATTGGTACTAAAAAAAGGGAAATATAAAGGAAACCAAGGGAAAAGTTTTCAGGAAAGCGTAATTGGAAGAATGAAGTAGATTTGAAGGCGACATTCGTGAGAAAAAAGCGAGAACCCAGGATAGAGAACGGCTTTAAGGAGGAAGAAGTTTGGATGTGTTTCGCAACTTATGTAACGATACGGGGGACAATATAAGTGAATGAAATAAAGGACGTTCACAAGCGTCTCCTTCATTTTCATTTGGTACTGAATCGCAGTTATTTGTCACTTGTTTATATGTATCAAAGAGAGTTTTAGCGGTGTCTTGCGAGCAATCCTCTAATATAATTTCCATCATGGAGGTAAGTACTGCATATTAGTGGCATTAAACTTTGTTTAATTATCGATATTATTGTGCATCAGAATAGTCATAACGTATCCGCTTCCAATAGTTATTCACATAACTTCCATTTCCTTTATAGACTACTGGCAACAAGGAAAACGAAGGGAGACGGCAATAACACCAACTCGAAGATTTAACTATTACCATTATTACATTGAAAGCTCTTACTAATTTTTACAATACAGCCTTTTACTCTCACTTTCTGCAGAACGCAGTATTGACGGATAAAAAATTGGGGGAAAACTATTGAGTGATTGTACTTTAATGTGGGAAGGAATTATGCAGAACTGTGGCATGAGCGGGACGCTGAGTGATCATGTAACTATATACATAAAGCAAATTCTAAGAGGAAAAGTAGACAATGGAAAGTTAAGGGACTCCAAGGGAGAAAAAGAAACAAGAACAGGGTAAGTTAGGGGAAAAGAGGTTAATTGTGTTGATTGGAGGTGGCGACTTGAAGCGGGTGAGGACGAGCGACAGTCGTGGAGAAAACGGGAAGCACGTTGCTTTTCCTTATGACAGTAGCTTTCCCATTAGTGAAGGTAGGATTCGAAGACAGGAAACATTGATTTTACTTCGGTTCTTTAAGGCTTGACTTATGACTTGAAGTCAACCTCGGCTTGTGGGTTACAGCGATTCCAAAAGGCTTCAATAATCTAGTTGCAATCTGGGATACGTTCTTCATGTAAGGCAAAACAATGTGTTAGTTGGAATCCAAGGGCAACTTTTTGGTTGACAGTGAATTTGATAAACATCGTTTGAGGGAGTTGCGTGGATAGTTTTTCTTCTATCTGTAAAGTTCGTGCACTACAATCTTTCTCCGTTCTTTTGAACAATATCACTACGTAGCTGATTTTGTGTACTGTTGGAATTTTGCTAATGTAGTTGAGGGTCTGATCCGCATGAGTTGGTTTTCTGCATACTTCAGTTTCTAATTTTAGCGAGTCCGTTTTAGTGATTAAAACATCTAAAATAGCAAGTATGTTGTTCGACTCCTTTCCAACTATGAAGTTTTGATTTGATCAACGGTAATACAAGTGTCTAATCTTTGCATCACCGCTTCTGAAATTGTTTTTGATAAAGGCAATTTTATTGGTGTTCATTTAATCTGCTTGTGAAGTTTTCCGCTGAGTTGGAAATATGTTATGAGGCATAAATCAATCAACTCTATCAAACTTGAAAACTTTAGTTGTTCACAGAGATGTTTATTATTGGAAAAAGGTCATTGTATTTCTAGCTAGTTGCGGTTAATTGAGGTGCATAGACCCGTAGCGCTGATGGATATTATCAATTTGTCCCTGTCGATATAAATATCCTTGATCTTCCTCGAAAACTGTATTGAAGAGTTGGTAGAGAGATCGCATGATTTGACCACAAGTTCTAGTTTTCTGAAGAGTTGTTTTGATAGATTGTGTCAGTCGCTGGAAGTGAGAGAGGTGCTTGGTTTGCGTACTTCCGGTCAACCGCAGAAACGCGTAAGAACAGGTGCACTGAATTTCATTTACCATTGGACTTGGACTTGAAATCTGTCTGGCTTCGAGAAGCTTGTTTAAGGTTTTCGTGACGTGAAAAGCAAACTTTTGAATGGGGTTTGTCTCAGCTATTTGATATAAATTTCGGTCTATGAACAAGTCTTCCGCGTTTTTGACGCAGTCGTCTTTATTCACGGTTTCTGTGGTGCACCCTTTGTCAGCTGGAATTAAAACGTTCTTTTTATTTTTCCAGTTTCTGAAGAGGTCTCCATTCTTGATTGGTTACTTGAGTATAGTTTTGCTTTCATCTAGTCAGAGGCACGACTACTTGTCGTATTTTCCGTTGAGTGTAATTGCTTAATCCTGATACCTCCAGTAATGATTCCACGAAGGCGAATTATCCTGGCCCCGAAACGTCTACTGTATCGTAATTCCTTCATTTCTGAAAAAGGAACTCCTCGGTTTTGGTCAGAAGTTGTTTGATAAACTGACTACACAGTCATTTGCTTCTTTCTCTTCTGATGATGCGCATGACTTTGGAATTTCAACTTACTCCTTACGACGGATGTTTCATCTATTTTCTCGGGTCGCCTGCCTGACTTTTCGACTGCAGTTGTCGATGCTGTAAAGTACTCTGTTGTGAGTATTCCCTGCAGCTTTTTCTATTGGTTGTCGATAGTCTGTCAAAATTTTTGAATGCGATAGCGAGTATCGGTGATTATCAGTCGTACCATGTCTTCTATTTCTTATCACTATTTTCCAACCCACTGGATGGTCAGTAGGTGATCTGCATCTAGCAATAGTTGGTAGAACATACTGATCTAGACACTCGTAAGGAAAACTTGGTTGTTCTTTTTTTATGGAAGTCCTACTCTTGGCAAAGTTCTCCGATTTCCGAAGCACGAGAAGTGTTTGATGCTTCTTGTAATTCAACAAAGGGATTGTCTTACCTTACAGGAAGAATGAAACCGAGATGGTAATTAGACTAATGAAGCCTTTCAGAATCGTTGTAATAAACAAGCCGACATAATCTCTACTTTATGTTATGCAGGTAAAAAGATACAATCTCAAAGGAAGATAAGCCAAACGTTATTTGCAAAATAAACTGCGAAAAGCACTATCGGACAGTAGTCATCCTCTTCGTATGGATCTACATGAAAATCATCTAGCAGTGAAACAAAGTATATCTTGGTCATATCAGAGCATATTGATAGTCGTTGAAACGAGTTCAACTGGGAAAATGTGAAAATCCGGGAGACAGTAAATACAAAGGATGCCAGAGAATTTTTAGAAGCGTGACACTCAAATCAGCCAGAGATCAACAGACATATTGACACTGATCCTACCTATCAACTAATGAGAAACACAAAGAACGTCGAAGTTCCCATCAGCAAGACAGCCAGTAGGAATACATGTGGCGACAAATACAAGATTTTAGCAGAAACGACTAATCACATCTAAATTCATCAGGACAGGCTACTATACTTATCGTGAAAAAAATCTCATAGCTTAATTCTTTCTGAAGTTTTTTTGCTAATGGTATTGTCCAGCATGACAATGAACGGTTAAAGCATCCAGCTCAGAGAGGATAACAACACCAAAATCCTCCCCCTGAGCTTTAAATATTCTCCATTTTAATTTAGGGTTGAAATTATGTGAAACAATTGAGAAACAGTGTGTGTGGTCGTAAATGATACTAAGTTTATGTTCATATTTAGGTACATTTGGTTCAATCATTTGATTTGATAACCATTGCGGAAAGTGTTTTTTCGAAAGGTATTGGATTATTCTATTAGCTCTACCTATGCAAGTGCTTCTACAACTGCAGGATAACTTGTAGATACAATGTCGGGTAGAGTTAACTGGATTTCCCTCTCCCACTGAGGAAGAAGATGCGTTTGGTAGCCAACCGAAGCCTTTTAACTGTCAGCTGTATAATCAATTTTCAGAATTAAGCATACAAACAAACTGGTGTTGCCCTTTTAGGCCCCAATTAAGCCGACGTATTGGATTGGAAAAGTAAATGAAGTTATAGAACTTTACTTTTTATAAATGCTCTTGTCCGTAGGTGATAATCATGAATCCGTTAGTGATTTTATCGCCTCATTAAATCGTGCCTTCGACAACGATCTGAGTCTACGGAACAGCATTCTTGGTTTTCTTAAACCACCCTCCAAATTATATATTGGAGCCTTCAATATTCGCACCCTCCGTCAAGTTGGTCAACAGGCTTCACTGGCAAAGACTCTAGCAACTCAAGACATGGATGTGTGTTGTGTTTGTGAGACACGCATACAGGACCCAAGCGGGGTTATTCATCTGACCTCTACCGGCCAATATGGTGAGTCCGTAAAATTCACCCTTCGAGTTTCTGGAGATTCTATGGCTAGTTATCGCAGTCTTGCAGGTGTAGGCATAGCACTGAGCAATAGGGCAGAAAACTCACTAATGAACTGGATACCAGTTGACAGTCGCCTGCTAAACGAAACAGTAAGAACTGAAAGGAACAGGGAGACTCGTCGTTGTCTTTTTGTAATCTCTGCTTATGCACCTACTGGCTGCAGTTCGGAGGAAGTGAAGGATAAGTTCTAACGAAAACTATTCAGTCTCCTTCTGAAAGCCGAACGTTTAGAGTTGGCTGTGGTTGCAGGTGATTTCAGTGCAAAAGTGGGTAGGCTTAATCAGACAGAAAGGCACTTCGGTGGCACTTTCGGAATCCTGACTGAACGGAAAGATAATAATGATCACCTACTACAACTGTGCTCGGATAACCGTTTGTTCCTAGCTACCACAAACCTCAAACATAAAGAAAGACACTGTCTGACGTGACATCCACCGAGCTCAATTCAGCGATGGACACGGATAGACCACATTGCTGTTAGTCATCGCTGGAGAGGGTCGGCGGAAGGCTGCGGCTCTTTCTAGAGCACATGTTTGGATAGCGACCACGCGTTGGTCCGAGTGCGTATATGCCTGCTTCTCAATGGAGGTAGGAAACATTTGGCGACAAAACCACTACGAGTGCTGCTGAAGAACGAAAACACCAAAGCTGTGTTCAGTAAGAAGTTGGCTAGGCAGTTATCAGAACAGAAGACTACCACTCATCCAGAAGAAGCTTGGTGCCATATTCAGTCTGCTGTAAAAGCAGAGCTGAAGACCATAGTCAACTCCGAAAGAGCAGCTAAAAGGAACCAGTGGATATCAACAGCTTCTTCCGAACTAATGGATGCACGTGAACGCATCCCTGCTGGCTGAGTACAATGAAGAGCGAGCGCAACTTAAAAGTAGATGATGATGAGAAAAAGTCTACGCAACGGCCGCGAACAGTGGTGGTAGAGAAAGCTAAAGAGATGAAGAGGGCAGCGGTGATTGGTAACAGTGGACAGTTATTTAGAATTATTAAGGAAACTGGGAGGAAAAGGTCAACAATAGTTAGTGAGGCTATACCAGAGAAGGACGGATCTGGGATTTACTAACAGAGAAGACAACTGGAACAATGATCAGAACACTTTGAGGAACAGTTTAACTGGCCTTCAGCCACCATTGCATTACCCGCTATCAAGTCGGATCCTGAATGTAACATTGAGATAGGAACTCCAACACTAGCAGAAGTCGAGAAAGCGGTAGATAACCTGGGACGAGGAAGGGCGGCAGGATAAGACGGACTAACTCCTGAGGTATACAAGGATAGTGGTAGAGTGCTCTTAGTCAGGTTAACGGAGGTGTTAACCAGTATTTGGGAATCAAATACGATCCCCTTTGACTGGTCTAAACCACTGATTATTCCAGTCTTCAACAAAGGAAAGAAGTCCTGTGATAACCACAGAGGAATCAGCCTGACGAACGTAGTATCTAAGATTCTAGGTTCCATAATTCTTCGACGCCTCAGAGGACCTCGGGAACAGCTAGCCCGAGAAAACCACGCAGGATTTAGACCCGGCCGCGGGTGTATCGACCAAATATTCACACTGCACCAGGTCTTGGAACATAGTACGCTTACCGACGCCCGACAATAGTTGTGTTTCTCGGCCTGAAGGTGGCATTCGACTCCGTTGATCGAGAAGTCTTATGGCAATGTCTCTCACTGAAAGGCATGCCGAGTAAGTACATCACCCTATTGAAAACTATTTACTCGAACACTTGTGGGCCTGTTAGAGCTTATGGTGAGATGTCCAGGGAGCTATACTCATCGAGTGGTGTCCATCAAGGGTAACCACTGCCCCCATCTTATTCAATTTTATCATAGATATTCTTATGGAGGTCTCTCTCTCGTTATCTGACTACACAGAGGTTGACCTAATCGGTGGAGAATTTTCGTTAGACTTAGAATATGCAGATGACATAGTTTTGTTAGGTGAAGACACTGACAAGATGCAGTCTTCTGAACACTTTGAGTAGCAATTTGAGAATGTTTGGGATGTGTTTCTCATCACCCAAATGCAAATGGCTGCTCTAGGATTGGTCTTCAACGGTGCCACGGCTAACAATAGAGAGTGTAGTGATTGTGTTGACCACTTCACTTATCTGGGACGTACGATCAGCCCTGCACTGGTGGGTCAGTTGCCGATGAAATCTCTGCACGGATACAGAAGGCTCGGCTAGCTTTCGCCAACTTACGCCACCTATGGCGCCGCCGTGATATCTGATTGTCTATTAAGGGTCGCGTGTAATGCATAGCAGTCCGGTCTGTTCTACTGTATGGCTGTGAAACATGGCCATTGAAGATGAAAGACATGAGAAGGCTTCAGGTGTTTGACCATTGTTGCCTTCGTAGTATAGGTCGCCGTATTCCATGGTGTCACCACGTGAGTAACGCAGAAGTCAGGCGTAGAGTTTTAGGGAGAAGAGGTAAGTCAGTCGACGAGGTTGTGAACCTTCATCGACTGAGATGGTTGGGACACGTGTTACGTATGCCTAGTCACCGATTGCCTCGTCACACAATGTTGGCCGAAGTAGGCCCAGGCTGGAAAACGGCCCAAAGTGGCCACACTAAAGCATAGAACCAATGTATGAAGTGTTTAACTGTTGGTTTGAGCTATGTAGGGCGATGCAGACTAGGTGGTTGGGGTTCGCGGGACAAGAGGAACCAGTGGTTGGAGACCCTAGGTGATATGGCTCAGAACCGATGTCAGTGGCGCAGATGTATACACACATTATCCTCATCTCACCATTTTCTCATTCTTCTTCTTTTCTTTTTCTCTTTTAGTACTTTATATTTCTTTTGACTGAATTTTCTTTTTTTTTATCTTCTACTTCACTGTCTTTTTACTTGATGTACTGATATGAGCTGTAGCAACTCGGACCGTTACGCAGTAATGCCTGGTCCTATGTTGATGTGGATGGATGAATTCATTCAGTCGTATTCATCCAAACATTCCCATGACATCTGGATATAGGCTGATTGATAAACTGGATTTTCTGGACATTTTAATTACCAGATGAAGCGAGGGAACTATTAGAATATCAATTCTCCGAAAACAAGCATGGAATGGACAATATCTTTATTTCAGTAGGGCTGTTACTATTCAGCAGAAACGTTCTTCGGTTAAATATATTTAACCTTAAGAGATCGCAGAATACGTACCAGTGATACATTGGATGATGAAACATGATGAATAACAAAGGGGTTGGAAAGTTTAATCGATACAATTATTTGAACTTTTCCTAACCGAAGCAGAAATAAAGGTCGTGCACACGTTTCTCTGAACACAGAAAAGGGTTATTTGTTCGAATTGCTGTGGATTCAGATATTTATAAAAGGAGAATATTAACCACACTCGAAAGTAAATTAGGGTAAAACCGGATATATCATTGAAAACGATACTGCCCAGGCACATATCTAGTTGTAACCTCAAAAAGTGGCAAACATTTTGACGAAATGTTTGATAGGGAGGAAGCGAAATAAAATATACGTAACTTTTGAACCACACAAGTCCCATGGAACATATCCACTTAAAGTGTAACTTACATAAAATCGGCGTACTTTTGCAAGACTTTTTACTTAAAGGTCATCTAATATCTTCGCAACTTTCAGGCTAGTGGCAGTTACGTACAGTCTAGGAGACAGTTCAGTTTGTAAAAGTAACAGGAGATCGTAATGTAGATTGCAAGCGAATGGCTTTAATGCTAGCAAGTTTTATCAGTATTAAGGCATCTCTAGCAAAATTCTACACCTAGCATATGACTAGTTAGTATTTGAATACTACGTATGCTAGTGTTTTAGTCTAAATGCCTGAAGAGGTTTGCTTACTATAGCATGTGGAAGACTTACCATATTTAATGGCGTCTACAAACAGATACATAAAGTAGCTGCTATCTCAAAAGTAGACCACTTGCGCTAGCAGATGTATCTGTAGCGAAACACTAAGGAATGAAATTTTAGCAACTAAGTAAACCGAATGAATGTGTACCGCTATCAAACAGATTTTAGCTTATAGATAGTGTGGGTATAAACCCAGTGTTTGGGTTCTGACTCAAAAGTGCATGCATTTACTAAGCTACTTTCTACTTGTCAATTTCGAAATTTAAAAAAAGATAAAATAGTTTGGAATTTCCTTAATACACATCAAGTTAATGCGAGTAAAAAATCCTTTACTATTCAGAACTCAGTCTCAAAATGCAAATATTCCCACTCACCTCAAGGCCTTCTTTATATGGTATTTCTCTAGCCTCATCTGCATCGCATTTGTTCCCAAGAAGCATTCTCTCAACGTCTTGGTTACCATGCTAAACAAAGGAATAATAAGTAAAGTTAGTAGGTGTAACAAGATTGATTATCTAATACCAACTGGTTATACGAGTATATTTTAAATCATACCCGGCGCTCAACTTCTTGCATGAAATTCGTAACAATTATGGTCTGGATTTTTATAATCTTAACACCAACTAATTTAAGGTAACATTTGTGTACCTTTGTGACTGATTTTTGCATTATATTACAGTGTCCAGCTAGACTCCTCACATATCTAGGACAGCAGTGAGACAGCTTACATGGCTCAGACCAACAATCTGCAAATTAGTATCAACCTAATACTACTTTAATCAAGACTGAGACTAGGGATACATAATTTACATCAAAACACCCTTATTCGCTGGAGGTTTACAACTACCACACGTGAGCAACGTTCTGAAGATGCTAGTAATCAAAAACCTATAACTTTTTGATGTATTGTAAGTTCAACGGCCATTTCTCAGGTGTACAATAGACCAGAGAGGACTACTGCGCATTAAACTCCTCTTGTGAGTGACGGGATATCTCATAAGTGTCAGAGGTGATGTGAACTGATTAAAGTCAGTCGGGAAGTTTGCCTCTAAGCAGAGCATTTAACAAAGCTAAATATCTAGAGGTGATGTCTCCTTCAAAGTGAAGTAGCCACCTAAAGATGCTGCTCATAAGTCTAGGCACTTAATTTTCAGCCAACAGAAATGGGTTGAAACCTCGCCGTTGTCGACGTCTGGATAGCCAGTTAGTAAGTGGAACCAAGTGTTGGTGTGCAACGGTCAAAGTTTTCACACCTCATATCAGGAGAAAACACACCAGGATGATAGAGAAATGAAGAGGAAAGCAGTCAAAGTGGCAGATGCTCAAGAAAAGAGAGCAAGGAGGAATGCAACTGTGATGAAATCCGATATGATAGTTAGGATGAAGATAATGTGTCCATGCATCTGCACCACTGACATAAATTCCTAGTAGTACCACATAGACCCCAGCTGGGAAGTCTATATTTCTCTATATGGTTTAGACCAACAGTCAACGACTTCAGGAACTGATATCAAGTTTCGATCTAGCCGTTTCTAACTATTTTTCCAGCCTGAACCTAGTTCCGGCAACATTGTTTGACGCAAAAGACTAGGGATGTGTAACAACACATGCTCCAACCAACTGAGTTCATAAAGGTTCACAGACTCATTAACTTCTTCATCCGTCCGAAGCCCTACGTTACTGACGTGGTGGTGTCACGACACATAGCCTATGCTAAAGGCAAAGGTGGTCAAACACCTGACGTCTTCTCATGTTTTTCATCTTTAAAGATCATGCTTCATAGCCACACAATGGAGCAGTAAGAACTGCAGCGCAGTACACTCGACCTTTGGTTGGTAATCACGTAATACGTCGGTGTCATAAACGGCGGAAGCTGGTGGTTGTCAAGCGAGCTTTTTGTATCCGTGCGTAGATTTCAGAGGTCACTGGCCCATCAAGAATGGTCTAATTTTTCAAGCAAGCGAAGTGCTCAACACAATCAACCGCTTCACTACCTATTTCCAGACTACGTGCTGATGCGAACTAGTCCTGGATAAAGAATTCGCGTTTGGGGACTAAGAAACACCAAACATCCTCATATTATGACCAGAGGACTCCAGAAGACTCAGGATCATGTCAATATCACACATTAGAACTGTCATACGTAATCTGGTTTGATCAAGGAGTCTTTTGTGAAAAGGTAAATCAGGTCAGATGAGCAAGCATGCATAGAAAGATCTATAACGAAGCTAGGAAAAAATAGAGTGAATATCCTTGGGCAAAACCGTTTGAGTCATGTAGGGAAACGTAGGTTTTAAGAGTTAGGTCCGCGTGGGACTGGAATCAATATGTTGGAAGGGTATCAAAAGGCAAACATGTGATTCCTGGGAAGACGGGTTAAGCAGTACGCCTCAAACACTCAAAGACAACCACAGAACATCAATTAACTGGTTTCCTTGTCGAATGACCAACTCATGAAGCATATTTCAGGGCAAAAAGGTGCTGGTATCATTCATCGACTTAATTTGGACACTTTGCAAAGTTTAGACGTGCTGAGAAAAGGTTAACCCAGGTTTCTATAGTCTTTTGTTTTCAAACCTGGAAATAGTGGTATGGTTTTTCGGAAGACATGCCCATCATAGTTCTTGTAACAATTTAATCTCCTGATACTGTTTTCACATCTCTGATGTGACAATGAAGTATCATTATTTTGACATACGAAAATTCCTGCTTATTTGCTTTTTGTACGGATTTAACAGTATGCATGAAGATGATAAAGTACACGCGTACCTTTTTAAGTGTGCAATTTAGACAAACGTATCCCATTGGTCCAGTGACAGATAGGCAGACGAAATCAACGTAGAACTTCGTCTAAAAGTGCATCGGCTCAAGTTCCCACACTTTACCATAGTATACAAAGAACTGGTGGATAGAAAAACAGTGATATCAAAGAAGACAAAGTTGTGTGAGAGAATAAACAATCTGAAAATAAAGGTCTGTGCGAATATTCAAGCTTTAGAAGATATCAAGTAGCGAATACATTTGTTCTGCTGTGACTGATTTTCATCCATCACCAAAAACCCATACACTAATTCCTTATGTCTCAGGGACTCTAATCAGGCAGTCTATATCGCCCTAGAAGACTCAGACCAACAGTCAGGGACTTCATCGAATGTCAGGTCTTGGTCTGGCCACCCTGAACCCTCTAACAACCTAATCCAACTTCCCCTAGTATGCACGTCGAGGTGGCTCAGTATGCGCAGTAGACGTCCAAGCCATTTCAGTTGATGAAACTTCCAAACCTCATCAATCAATTCCCCTAGTACTCTTTGTTTGGCCTAGACATTGTTGACATGATGATTTCACTAATCACGAGCAATGTTACGAAGACACCTGTAATCGCTTCATGCCGTCTACTTTTAAAAGCCATGTCTCATAGCCCTATAAGAGAACAAACTGGGGCGCAGTATACTCGTTCTTTGATGGATTGTCGGATATCTCGCCGGCGCCACAGGTGACGCAAGTTGGCAAATGCCAAATGGGTCTTCTATATCCCAGCTTAGATTTTGTCAGCAACTATCTATCCGGGCTGGTGCAACTCCGAAAGTAAGTGAAGTGTTCGATGTATCCCATCACTTCACTCTTTATCGTTAAACTGGGAGTGGTTGCAGACCAGTACAGGAGCATCGTCTTACAGCTGACAAGTGCGAAACGCATGCCAAACGCACTCAGATTTATGCTCGTGTTCAGATAGAGGACCCTGAATTTTGTCAGCGTCTTCACTTCACAGGACAATATTGTCTGCATACTCCAAGTCAACCAGATGACCCCTAGGGGGTAGATTAATCAATATGAAGTCAGACACACCTAAGGTCATGTTTATTAGTACGCCTATAACAAACTTAAGTAGGAAAGGTGACAATGTGTATCCCTAGCGAACATCACTAGATATCGCCAATTCTGACGATAACTCTCCATAAGTTTTTACACGGTTTCAGTTGGAGTAGAGAGCTCCGTTAGCAATATATACTTGCGCGGTACTCCTTTCACAGTCAGACAATGCTACAACACCTCGCAGTCGACAGAGTCAATTGCCGCCTTCACACCAGGAAATATGGCAGGTGTCAGCCGCCGGTATGTCTGTGTTCCAGAATCTGCCGAAGAGTGAAAATCTGACCGTTGTACTTTCGTCCAGAACTGAAACGTGCCTAGTTTTCTCGATAAACATCGGGTGGTAAACTGTAAGGTTCTGCTGCTTTCCATCGTTTCAGACTCAATATACAGCCTTTCCATTTTCAAGGGGAGTTAGAAGACCGACATATACGTCTCATTCAGGTTCAGACTGGATGCTCGGCAACTGAAGGATTGCTGTGAGCCAGTTGAATTTGACTCCAGATTGTTTCGCCCAACGTTCCTGCCGCCTGTCCTGAGTTATTATGAGCGTATCATCCATTTCAGTGATGGCTTCACTCACCATCATCGTTTTCTTGTCGGTATCCTTAATAAGTCTAAATAATTGCCGGGTGTTACCCAACGTTGATGCCTTCTCCATCTCTGTTGCTCTCTCCAACCACCACTGTTCATGGTCACTGCGAAGACCCTTGGTCAATTTATGTTTAAGTTTTTTTCACTCTTCATTGTGATCAGAGCCATCTGGTCAGTTTTTTTGCATCAACCAACTTGTATGACTTTGGGGGGATTCAATGACATTTTTTAACCTTCGAGCGTATGCTTCTAATTGTCCCTAACGCTGTTTCTACAGCAGACAATGACACACAAAATTTTCCCAGGATGGGCATTGCTGTCACATTCAGATAAATGCCTAGGTAACTCCCCTCTAAATACGTACTAGATGTTCTAGTCTTCTAATTGAGCATAAGCAGGCTTTACTATCACCTATTTCCTGGGACCAGTAAGGTGTAGACATACACGAGCCTGTACTAGAATGTGATCGGAGTTTAAACAGGTACTCCAGAGACAGCGCTAATCCTCCACCGATGGCATGTAGCAATATGACCTGTGTTCATCTCTGGTTTGATGCCGGTGAACGCTGACTGCAAACAAGTGACTGTCAGAACGAAATAGCGACAGATGATACCCGTTATTGGTTCGTTGGCAAAGGATTCCGTAAGTACGCCCAAGATACCTCTCATTGGTTTAGCTTCCCTAACCAGATGTTAAAGCCACCTGCCATCTTGACTATACCTGAAGGTCTCGGTTTCTGTAGCAAACTTGAGTTCCTCACAGAATATCCTTTGCATCACCCGAACTGCAGTTGGTGTATGCGTAGGTAGAGATTACGAACAGACATTGTCTAGTCTCACGATCCTTCGTAGTCCTTACAGATATATTCATTCGAACAATACACAGATGGCTGTTGACTGTTATCCAGTCGAGAATTGTACTTTATGTCCTAAGTTCATTGCTATCCCTACACAAGTGGGTTCACGATAGCTATCGATTGGGATTCCGGATACTCTTAGATGAATTTAGGAGATTCTTTGCACCAGTCAGGTTACATTAATTTAATAGCACTAGGGTCCTGTATACGTGTCTCTGAGACAACATACATCCGTGACTTGAGATCCGAGTTCTGGAGAACGATGCTGGATGTCCGACTTGACAGAGTTGGGAAGTTGAGAGTTCTAACATGAACTCGGTAGCAAGTTCTTAAGAGAGTAGGAATGAGGTTTCGATGACTATGGTTGTTGACAATGGTCGCACAGTGAGAGGTTTAATACTAGTAATATGAGGTGAGAGCAAAAGACAAATATGAGGATGTTATATTTGATTAGGTCTCGAATACTACTGGAGGATTCCGGGTGGTTTACACTTTCCAGCTGCCCACACCATGGAAAGTTACTTCGTAGGATACCTGAGAGAGAGAAAGATCTGTGACCGCAGAGCCTATGAGACATCTGCTTTAGGTCTGTCACAACCTTTTGTGAACGGTTTTAATGCCGTATAGAGAAAACTCATAACGCCAGTATCGGAAGATCGTGGGGCAGTGAATGTGCTACTTTCAGGGTCGACTTCCTGACCCTTCCCTATTTCCGTTGAGAAGGCAAGATCAGGGAAACAAGTTACCGCTTTCAGCCCATTTAGTCAGCAGTAAGACGTCTCCCTCCCCTCGGACCTCCATCATAGCGTAACACAACACTATAACGGTAACTGCTTTCCATCTCACCAATATCCAACAGAAGCTTCTGGCATGGTAAGACATTGAGGAAACAAACATTCTAGCCAGTGTAGCTCGCTGAGTCATTGTGATATACAAGCCCGACCATCACGTCTAGATAAGTTACCGACCAGGGTGGTTCAATGAAACAAACCAAGAAAAATGTTAGTTTTGAAGTCGTGGGAGTAGGCAAAAGAATTTTTACGGTTACTGGACGGCGATCTGGATTTGGGACCCTAAAATACCATTTTAGGAGAAACTAATGTGGAATTTTCTTTAAGGGGGGGGGACTCCGCGGAAATGCAACAATTAATCTCCATTTCCCCCAATCATGAGAAACTTACAGTCTTATAGTGCGACACTGATTTTGTCAATATGTTGCACACACAAACTCAACGCAAAAGTTCTTTACCATGACTCTTACGAGGGTTGCGGAACCGTCGTTACCCAAAGCACACACTTCGAGTACTTCCCCAAAATGCTAAGTTAGGAGGGGGCTTTTCATGAACAAGTTACTAACTAGGTTCTTTAAAATGTTCAAGGCTTTAAGTACCTCAACGAATAGTCCAGAAATGAGAATATGATAATCGACGCAAAGCTTGTTGGGAAAGATTTTAGAGCAGATTTCTGTATCAGCTAACTAGTTTACACAGTTTTGTGCAGAAAAATGTACACTGTGAGTTGACATAGCAAAAGACATCACAACTCACTTGATCTATGTTATTCATCCATGTTTTTATGCTGCTGAAAGAACATCGATTCGTAACATCGTAAACTAACATAATGCCCTTGAAAAACATCGTTTAGTTTTACAAGGTCGCCTTACCATGGCTCCCCGGTAATATGCTGTTGTAATAGTCCGGAAACGTTCCTGACCAGCAGTATCCCATATCTGCAATTTAATTTTCTTACCATCGATATCTATTGTACGGATTTTGAAATCGATGCCTTGAAAAATGTTAGTTGCAGGTTATGAGTTGTTCATTACCTATGGTAGCTATGAAAGTAGAATTAAACTCATCTTCAGAGAATCGAAAAAGAATGCTTGTTTTTCCAACACCCGAATCACCAATAAGTAGGAGTTTGAAGAGATGATCGTAACATTTAGCCATTGCAACTCAATTTAACCCGCCCGCTAATTAAGCATCGAGATAAAGAAATGGCGGTGGTGTTCGTATTCAGAATAACACCCAAGGCATAGAAAACAGTACATCACTTTAGAAATGTATATTCATCATATTCATTGTGGGAGTCAGTAGAGGGCTTTTGAAATTTTGTCCACATGGGTGATGGGCTTATTATTCGCGAAATTTTGGAGGCTATTTAATTCTCGCGACTACAAAGTCATTATTTTGGGACTAGATAATGCAGGGAAATCCACTATTTTATACCAGTTCGTGCTCAAGGAGGCTGTGCAGACATCACCTACCATTGGCAGCAATGTAGAAGAGGTAAAATGGAAGAATTTGCATTTCATTATGTGGGATATTGGAGGACAAACTACTCTTAGGGCCTCTTGGGATACATACTTTTCAGGATCAGATGTAAGTTTTGTATTATTTGACTGCTTGTAGTTCGTCATATTAGTTATCGATAGCACAGATCGTGAACGTCTATATTTAACAAAGCAGGAGTTGTATAAACTGTTGGTTGCTGAGGTAAGAGGAGTAAAATTTGTAAACCTTCAGGAATTAAAACGCTCAAAAATGCTGATATTCGCCAACAAACAAGATGTGTCAGGTTGCATGTCCGTAGCTGAAATTAGTCACAATCTCAACCTCACATCCATTAGAGATCACCCATGGCATGTCCAACCTTGTTGTGCATTGACTGGAGAGGGGTTCGTTTATTCCATATTTTTCCTATGCATGTATTATTGTGATTACTGGTACTGAATACTCTTGTTGCATATGTTATATAGGTAGATGTGATCAGTCACTGATATCTGAGTGAATACCAGTCTTTAGTCATAAAAACAGTAAGTTGGTGAGTACCCTTTGTATTATGTGCTTGAAAAAAACCATCAACACCTTTACTGGCCAGAAATTTCTCTTGGCCACTGCGAGAACTAGATTACTTTGTTGGTTTAGAATTCTTGTAGTTAGCTGAAAGTGTACTGTAACTAACACAAGCAAAACCATATGAAATTCTGTTCAAGATACAAAATACTCATACTGTCTAGAATGTCCACGTGGATACTTCTTGATGTTTTGGCTACCGTTATAAAGAAACTACCAGTTTTCTACTTTCAGTGTTCCAAATGATAGATACAGTGCTTTGGTTATATCCCAGATACCTTTTCTAAGGTTATGTACTGCGATTTATCACAGCACTCCAAATGTACTGGCTACAGTTGCATTACAGCACACTGTCTTATGACTTTTGATTCAAGGAACTAATTAGTATCTTAAGATACTAATGTTTCGCTTGGGAATTATGGAGGACAGCTACCCTAGCCAATATGACTTACCATTCATCTACTGAGATTAAGTTCCTTCCCCGGCTTTTAGATCAGCTTATCATTTTACTTACCCATAGGAGATTTATGGAAGTATACCTACTACTACTACTGCTTACCATTCAAGGTTTTACATTTGAACATTTAATTCATCGGTAGAGAAAAAGACAGCCTAATATTAAGCTGAAATCCGACTTTCTTATGTGGTTCTGCACGAGGAAGCTACCATTCTCAAATTACACAGTGTCATAAGAATCAAAGCTTGTAAGTCTCCCGGTTTCATACCAGTGTAGTTCTTTTATCAATTCGTTGATTTTAAATAAGTAGTGTTGTGACAGTATCTGACTGGTAAGGCAGTACTGAGGAAGCATGTGACACTAATCAAAGTTCTCTACTTGAACTCATTTGTGCAACGGCTCACCGAAAGTCGTAATCTCAATTGACGACAAACGGTGTTGTCCGTCAGATATGTCTTGTACCACCATTCCTGTTTGACTGCGTTATAGATGCACTAGTGTACATAGTCCTAGGTACCTCTGACTTTACAGAGATCAACTCACGCCCACGAGAGCATGTGATCGACTTTAACTACACAGACCACTTATTTTTGGTAGGTGGAAATACTGACAAAATGCAGGTTCTTGTGAACGCCTTGGGTAGAAGTCTGAGTATATCTCGCCCCTGCCAAATATAAGATGATTCTTTTCTGTAGCTACTCTGTCAAAGTATAGGAAGTGCAGTGGTAGAATTCATCGACTGTTTCATTTACTTGGGATTTGGGCTAGCGCTAAGGGGCTGGTTGCTGACGAAAACTCGGCTCAGATACAGAAGGCTCGTACGGTATTTGTTAACTCCCGTCTTACATTATATTTTTGGTATGCAATTACCGGTTAACTGACTAGTGTACTGCGCAGCAGTCTTCTGTCTTGTGTTGTTTAACTGTAAGATATGACTGTTGGAAGTAGACGTGAAGAGGTTACAGGTGTGTGAACGCATGTCTTCGTAGCAATTCTCAAGTATGGTGGGTTCACCATATGATCATTGACTAGGTTCGGTGAAGGGTAATGGGGAAGTCAGTCGATAAGGTTGTGAAGCTTCACCGATGTGGCTTGGACGTGTGTTGCACATCCTGACTCACCACCAACCTCGAGTTGAAATGCTAGTTGAAGTTGGGTCGGGATAGGGCTCAGGGCTGACCGGAGCAAGACGGTACCGGTCCGTGCAGTCTCTGATTGTTTGGCTGGGCCATGTAGAGGGCAGTAGACTACCTAGCTGGGGTCCTGAAGGTGATAGTCAGTGGTTGATAACTCGATATGGCTGAAAACCGGTCGCGATGGTGTGGATTTATTTATTCACTCTTTGACATCGAAAGCTTCAGCACTTTCACTAACCTAGCTTTTGAAGTTCTGTCTTCTCCCATGCACCTCTGTTTACTGTGATATCTTTCTTTTTCTATCCACTTGTCATTTGCATGCCGCTATGAAATGTGGCAGGTTGAATCGGTACATTTGTGTGCTAGGTTTTACGTTGATTTTATCTGTCTCTACCTTACCTTTCCGGGATACTTTATGTGCTTTCTAACATTTCCAGTCTTGAAAAGATTCGGTAAAAATATTCTATGTAGGTTTAAAATCCTACACAAAGTTATTCATCTATTTTATAGCCCAGTGTGAACTTAGTCTACTTGATTAAGACACTTAAATACTAGGCTTGTGCTGTTTGCTAAAAGTAACGAGTTGTTTTCGCAGATAATGTGTTTCATGAGAAGAGCTAGTTAAATTTGTGCTATTTAATGCGTATAAATGCATTGTAACCTGTATTTGGTTGTGGCGTCGTCTTCATTTTGATCTCGTTACTTTCTGAAAACGCATTATTCCCTGCAGGTAGATGGGTAGTATTATTCATTTTCACTCACCATACGGTAGTGGGTTCAACTTATTGCATAAACTTGGCTCGAACCACTTAAATCACAATTGTTTTGCTGGCTAGTTATATTTTGGTATGTTGTGGAAGATTTTCATTAGAAAAGTAATGCTAGGTCAGATGGTAAACTTGTGAAAAGCTGTGATTCATGCAAATAGACGCTTAAATTATGAGTGTTAGACGACTGGTTCAAACTCCACCCCATCTACTAAAGTTTAGGTGACCAAGTGGTGTTACAGCTTTCATCCAGTAGACATGGCCAATATTATTTTATTACCCAAATTTTCATGAGTTTTGCATTTGTATGTACTTAGTTAGTATTTTAAAGTGATCAGGTTATTATTGGCTGTTTGTTTGATTTTTTGCTTGTCTTTCATGAAAGTGAAGTGTGTAAAATAATTTTCTTTGCTCAACTGTTTGTTTTACAACTTTTGTCCCTAGACTTCCTCAAGGTTTGGATTGGATCGCCGCTCAGATTGGACGATAGCATCCCACTGAAGCTTAACAGATTACTACCACTTTTCTGTTCAATGCAGACATTTGTCGCCTGGTTGTATTTAAAGTATTGATTTCCAATAACTGTGAAAAGTAACATGCAAACCACATATTTTACTGATCATAGTGTTATTGCTGCTGTTCGGATATATCTATCTTGGGATTCAGTTTTCAGTAGATTTTTGTTTTTTATCTTTTTCTTTTAATCTTTTCAATTGTTAGGTAGACAAGTTTGTTTTGTCAAATGTACATGATTTGCTTTATTTATTTTTCTATCTTTCAACTTGTTTAAAAGAACTATCTTCTCGGTACCAGCGCTAATTTGTACAGAGTGTATTGTATTATATTTATTTATTTGCTTTCAATAGAATCCTTGTACGTATTTTTCATTTTGAAGTGTGAGGGTAAGAGAATTAGGGTTATTGAAAACACCAGCTAATTGGACTGACTGACTTATTTGTTGTTTACTATGATCTCTGAATATTCATAATGGTAACAGTAGTAATGCTGGTCATTTGGGTCTACTGTTTTATCTGTGAAAACAGACTGAATCAATTGTGTCATTATTTGTCCGAGTAGATTTATTTTTCATACACTTTTCATTTGTTTTTTTTCGCTTACAAATCCTGTGTTTAAATAAGACCGTATATGTTGAAAAGGTTTTAAAAGCCTATTTAGTATTAATTTACTGTATTCTTTTTTTACTGAATAAATTTATGTACCAGTGTACATATTTGAATTTTTCTGGAGAATGGTATTTGCGTTTTTTGTAATTGGTTTTTAGATTTCTTGTTGATCATTCTGCACTAGGCTTATCCGCAGAAAATTCTTCAGATTGAAGCCTATAGCCATCAGTGTTTTGGGTATATTACTTAGCTATTATAGTTGTTCTAATTTACTAACTTCGCCTTAATTAGCCTGGGAACTGAAGGTGTAGCTTTCAGTGTTTGTACTCTGTGAAATGATTAGGTACTCTTCTATGGCCGAGGTTATAGTGTCTTTGATGCGTTTTATTTCTTATGATACCATTGGTAAACAAGGTTTAAGATGAAGGTGCATGCACCGGATTTGTTTAAGTCCACTCACTTTTGATTTTCAGGAAACCTTTCACATTTAGTGGGGGGAGGGGGGGGCATATTCATGTTTCATATCTAGACGTTTAATAAGTTGCTCATTTCTGAGATGAACTTATAATTGGCAGACCGATAGATTTCTGACGATCTGATTCACTTGGTGGTTTGCTGAAGTGTTTCAAAGGAATCTAGGTCTTAATCTAAGGTGGTGTTTATTAATTCTTACATTGCCCTATAGATTTGGAAACTGATTTTCAGGACAGGTGTGTTTGCAGTTAACTCTCTGAGCAGTATTCTAATAAAACTTAACAGCTATTTATTTCACTGAGATTAGAGCTTAAAGGTTGATAGGAAATTTGACAAAGCAGCTGGTTGGCTACTAGGTTATGTACTGGCCACTTATTTGGTTTGCAGCGAAAGATAGTAACAAAAGTGACTTTAATTTTGAAGGTAAAGCGTTTATTTCCTACTGCATAAGTCCACGTATTTATTCGAAAGCTATAAAGTAAAGAGGTTGAAAATAATCAAAGTACATCATTGTGGTGGGTCTTCTAGTTAGATGACCATATTGGAAACTTAGTCGACTGAATTCAGTTTATTCAGGTTTATATTGTATCGATATAGTTATGAGAGTCGTGATATGTGCTCCAAAATGTAACGCGCTTTTCAGCTGAATGTTGCAGATATGTTGTATTCGTTATTTAAGTAAGACTTCCTCGTCTTCTACAGCGGAGGCATGAAAACACTGACGTTTTTTAAAAGAGGGTCAGTGTAAAAAGGTAACAGTGATTACGAAAGCGATGTATAAAAAGTGTTCAATAAATTTGTTGTTGCATTTCGGTTTCTTTCAATAGAGATGGCAAAAAGCCACAGCACCCTTTTATTCCTATGGCAAAAGTTTCCACTAGTGACTTGATCCAGAAAGTTGCTCTGTTTTAAAAATTCTCAACTTAGGGAGATCCGACCACAAATGTAAAAAGCTCATTTGGATTTCAACAACTTCAACCACTTGTCATAACGGCGATATATCTTGAATGGCTATGAAAGTTGAAGAATTCAATGCCCATTTATTAGATTACCGTTGGTTTGGTAGGATTTCTCAACTGGGGTGGTTTTATCGTGCTACACTCACTGATCTACCGTATGTTCCATCGTACTATTTAAGCTAAAGTGGGATTGGGTTTTCATGCAACTAAAGCCGGCCAGAATAAATTGCGGTACTTATCCGCGAATACTTTGATGATTGGTTTATGCTATTTATGTCCATTAGGTTTTGTATAACAGCTGAAATAGTGGGTTGAAGACCAACAGCTGTGCTTTAAAGACAGGATCCAGTGGTCCAAGTTTATGGATGTCTTATTTTTATCTAAATCGTTGCAGCGTATATGGAATAGATGTAGTTCATAGTCTCATACATAAAAATGTATCAACTTAGATTACATCTATGTAGCGTCTTAATGACTTGTAAATACCATTATTTCTACTTATCTGTCTTTCCTCTCCACAGCATGTCTAACTTAACTATCCTTGGTCACTATACAGTTCCTCTCGATACAACCTCACCTGGTTGGACCGATGAAAAGAGCCTAGAAGATTTAGATTTCGCCGACGATTTATGCCTTATGTCGCACAAACTCGAAGATCTACAAGCAAAAACCAACAAGTTGGTAGAAGAGGCAGCGAAGGAAGACGGGACTTCAAGTGAACGTAGAGAAGACAGAGGTGTTGAAGATACCCAGTCAACAACAATGACAGCAACAAGCATCAGTCACCATGAACGGGAGAAATCTTACGGAAGTGGTCTCTTTCATTTACCTAGGCAAGGCAGCATATTTTCAACTACAGGCGGCGGACCAGATGAGGACGTCAAAACCAGGGTCGGAAAAGCAAGACAGGCCTGCATTAATCTGAAATCGGCGTGAAGATCTACTGCATTCAGCATAAAGCGTGAACAAATCCGGATTTTCAACACTAATGTCAGTCAAGTCCGTGTTTCTATATGGTTCAGAAACTTGGCGCGTTACGAAAAGCATTTCCAATAAACTACAGACATTCATCAACAGTTGCCGCCTACGCTCGATACTGAAGATCAGATGGCCGGAATAATAAGAATAAGCACTGAGGAACTCTGGGAACGAACCAACTAAGAACCCATCGCCCAACAAATATGCGGAAAAAAGTGGAGATGGATTGGGCATACACTGAGAAGACCATTCGGGGACATCACGTGCCTGGCCAGGCCGTAGAGTGGAACCCAGATGGGAAACGATGAGTTGGGTGTCCGAGGGTGACATGGAGGTGATCGTGTTAGGAAGAAATGAAAGCTTCTGGACAGACGTGGAGCCAGGTTGCAAAGACTGCAGAGAACAGAGGGGAATGGAGGCGTGCTACTGAAGCCCTATGTTCCACTAGGAATCCAAGGGACAAATAATAATAATAATTCTCTCGATACGGATTTCCTTCTAATCAGTCACTGACTGAAGTGATTGTAGATATTTTCGTGCTGTCTTAACACATATTTAATTATTTCAGTAGTAGTTTCATGTTTCTTAACATATATGAGTTGTAACACATCTTCTAGTGAGATGATGTCGGACACTAGGTATTGTACTTCAGTAAAGTTGACAATTTATCATCATCCCTGTTTGTCTTAGAGTGCATGTAGATGAGTAAAGGATGCTGTGAATCGATTTCCTGCTATACCACAGTACAGTTTAAAGGGCAAACAAAGCAAGCCAAGCTTTTTTTGAATATCACTGAAATAGATTGTCCTCCTGGATTGGAAAAGCATCAGTCTTTTTAAAGTCAACGTGTTTTTCAGTTGCTTTTACAGTTTTTGTGATCGTTTAGATGTTCTCTGAGCTTTGATGCTCAATCAGTAGCAGTAACTGCATAGTTTTTATGGATTTTTTGGATCAATTTAGTCAACTTCAAACAGAAATTATCTTCAGAATAAATACCACGCTGGCAATTTGTACACTTTGTCTTCAATAAAAATCTAAATACATCTGGAATTGTTACAATTTAGGTTTATCCAGTTTGAGTTTCAAATAGTTGGTCAAGGAGCTATGACTCACAGGTGTAGACACTCAGCTTTCAACCAAGTGGGTCTAGGGTTAGAACACCACTGTAGCTACCAACGTCTGGGCGACCTTCGGTTGACACTTCGCGGTTTCCCATACCGTGGAGATCGCTTCTGCAGGATGCCTGAAAGAGAAAAAGAAAATGATTCGTGCGACTGCAGAGTTCATGGAACAACTGCTAGAGGCCTGTCACACAGCCTTTTCAGGATTATTGGTTTCAGATTTGGCTGATCTGAAGCCGGATAAAAGAAGCTCATGTCACCGGCACTGCAAAACCATGGGGCAGAGAAGAGTGTGCTGTTCTCAAGGCTACATTTTCTAACTCCCTTCCTTCTCGTAGGGAAGGCAGCATTGCTGCTGACCCAAGGAAACGCTTTACTGCTGTCACACCACATCCAGCCAACAGTACTACTCCGCCCTCTGACCCGTATCGTAGTATAGTAATCTACGCTACAACGGTAAATGCTTTTCATATTACCTTTCTGGTATGGTGGGATCTCGAGAAAACAAACGTCCCAACCAGTGTAGCTCCTTGGATCGTTATGATATACAAGCGCGACCATCACGCCTAGGTAACAGCTCTCTATCAACTGACACATGCATCTGCCTACTGAGTGCATTTTTCAGTAAGTGATCTTGGTTATATTGTGTGCTGTGAGCTGGGTTGTTTAATGGTGAAGCTTTCATCGTCTTTCTGGACGACATCATCAGCACTAACTTCAGTATGAAGTAAGCTGTCAGTATCTCTCCATGAGTGATTTAGTAGCTTGCCCTGACGAAGTGGTATGTGATTGGTTGTTTCGTTTGATTGTTGTGTCATTGACTGACTGCACAGATTTTCCTGTTGGCTGTTCCTCTGTTTGGCTTCTGAACTTTCTGTCGTTTATCATTTTTCTTATTGGTTGATAGATTGGGTCTATATCTATACATCTGTTGGTTGCTGACTGACCTGAATGCCAAGCTTCTAGGAATTCTCTGGTATTCTTTGTGTTTCCTCTCTCCGTCCAAATTTTCTACATTGTCGAAATTGAATTCATTTCCATAGTTGTTATCCACATGCATTGAAATGAGTGATGAAATGTCGTGACGTTTAATAGCTAATTGGTGTTCATGTAGACGAAGGCGAAGAGGGCGACCACTTTGTCCAATGTACTGTTGACTACAGTTATTGCAGTTGATTTTGTAAATGATATTTGGTTTGTCTTCTTTGGTTGTTGCATCCTTTGGTTTGCATAATATTGTTTGTAGGGAATTTGTTGGTTTATGAGCCACACGAATTCCAAGTGGTCTCAGTAATTTTGTCGTGATTTCTGATATATTTTTTATGTATGGTAGAATGATGCGTTTGTTGATTTCAGTTGATGACTTTGTAGTTGATTATGCATGGGATAGGTATCTTCTGATAAAGTTTTGTGGGTAGCCGTTCTTCTTTAGGGTGGGCATCAGGTAATTTTCTTCGTTTCTCCGTGAAGTTGTTGTGCTGTAGTGTGTTCTTGCTCTTTTGAATAGCGTCTAGATGCAACAACACACAAAATCAAATGTTTCTTGTTGGGATATCTGAATAGAATAGAATAATATGTGTGATTTGGGTTTAATTGT